TTTCCTTTCTCTCATGAGTTGCTGTCTGTCCTTTGTTCTTTGATGCTGGAAATAGTTCATGTGTAAGGTAGAAAACTTTACTAAGTTACTTCACTTCATCATAAGTGGCATGGAAATGAAATTATCCTTCTTTTAAGTACCTGCCATTCTTGCATATGAAAAGTAACATTTTATTTTAGTATTACTATGTATACTTCAAAGGTATCTTTTCATATTTATAAGCTAGTTGTATTTTTGTTATAAATAACAATTTCGTGGCCTGGTGGAGTGGCTCAAATGGTAGAGCATCTGCCTGGCAAGTATGAGACCCTGAGTTAAACCCCATAACCACCCCCCCCGACAAAAAAAATTTTATGTACCTTTTCATTTCTTTTAGATTTTTTAAAATCTTTTATTTATTTATTTTTCTCTTTTTTTGGATTTTTTATCTTTTAAAAAATTACATGTAGAGGCCAGCTGCAGTGGCTCACGCTTCTAATCCCAGCTATTCAGGAGGCTAGGATTGGTTTCAAGGTCAGACTAGGCAAAAAGTTAATAAGGACCTCCGCTCCCCTCAGTCTCAGCAAATAAGACAGATGTGGAGGAGTGCATCTGTGGTCCCAGCCCCAAGCAAAAATGCAATACCCTAACTAAAAATACTTAAGGAAAAAGGGCTGGAGTTGTATCTCAAGTGGCATAGTACTTATCTAACATGCACAAGGTCCTGAATTCAAGCCCATTACCACACAAAAGCATATGTAGAAACTCTATGTAATGTATTAACACCTTACGTGTTATATGTGTTAGATATATTCTCACGTTTTTAATCTTTCTGGATTTCTTTTACCTTAGAAATTTTTAGCTTTTAGATAATTAAATCTATAAAAGCATTTCCTCTGTGGCCTTAATGGAGGTCTTGCTTGGGGGCTGGCAGTGTGGTCCAAGTAGTAGAGCACATGCCTGGCAAGTGCGAGGCCTTGAATTCAAACCCTGGTACTGCCAGAAAAAAATGCAGTAGTCTTGCTTGAGATGGTCTTTCCCACTTCAGGATTAGAACATTTGTAGGTTTTCAGTGTCTTGAATATATTCTTATAAATGGATGAGGGGATACAACTTTACTGTTTCTTTAAGTAGTTACTTGCTTTTTCAAAAGTTGTCCCTAATGCATTTGTTCAATAATTTATCCTTTTCTCATTGATTTCAAATTTCACCTTTACTATGTGTCAAATAAGCAATGGTCTGTTTCCAGACTCTGTTCAGTATTCCAGATTTTTGTTCATCAGGTCCAATATGAGTGTTGCATTGTTTAAATAAGTGTTGCATTGTTAAATAGAGCTGAAAAATCAGTCTCTATTGTATAGTTTTAAAAAAACTAACTTTGGAAGTTTTTTTGTCCAGTTCAGCAATTCTTACCCTTTCCTAGCAGCTTACTTTACAAAAATGAACTTATTGTTGAGGATGCTGGAAAGTGGTACTCCTTAGCATTTTAGTGTCTCAGGACCTTTTTAAAAGCTGTGAATTTAGAAATATGGGCCTGGCACACATCAAACAAAAGGCTTTCACAAAGCACAGAAGTCTTACCTCGCAGCCCTCTAATGACACATGGACTTCAGTCTGAACTTATGTTCTAGAAGGAATTACTCAGACCTTTAATAATAACTCTTCTAGCCAGAATAGCTTTAATTTATAGCTGAGAAAGATTTGAATGGTACCAAGTTATAAATCACCTTATATAGTTACTTTAAAATGCCCAGTGCTCCTTTTTCCTACACACCCTCCTCACACAAGAAAACATGTGCAAGAATACATATTAAACAAAATGGACAAAATATTGAAAATATTATAAAATGAATGTGCTTTATATAATTCTATTACTGTATTTTTTAAAAATAAAATTTAGTACCAAGGGAATAACAGAAATCAGATATACCCTTCTCAAAAGAACTAGAACACTGAATATTATGATGAATCGATGTTTGTATATGTTCAACAGTAGACATAATAGGACTAAGATTCCTGAGAAGAAGAGAATAAGATCATATAGTTGAACCAGATTGTTGCCTGGAGTTGCACAGTGTAGGGAGTGAAAATCCAAATAGAGCTTAGCAGTCTCACTGACATGAGAAGACAGACTTTATGAAAGTTACATCAGTGAGAATTTGCAAGGCAGGTAACCAGACAGGATGGAACTCTGCAGAGAGAAAACTCCAGATGTCTGCAAAGGGGTCCCCTTTAGTACTGATTGGCATATATGTGAGAAGAAACTACTAAGGCCAGGAAAAAGAGTAAGCCAAATGATTCCTTGAGCTCATAAAGAGCTGGAAGTAGTTTGTGTTCTTACCAGCCATAGTGGGGGAAAAACACCTTGTAATACCTGAGATATTGGATATAATTGACAAGAGTTCCACCCTGCATTGGGATAAGTTAGCCCTAGATTAAAGGCTGCCCTGGATCTGCTCTAAGAGCACTTACAAGCAAGTCTCAAAAGAATTAACTGGTTCCAGGTAATAAGTACACTCCAGAAGAAAACACAATACTATTTAAATCATTACAACAAAATCCCAGTAATCATTGATGTAATATTTATAGTATGTAGTATCCAATCAAAAATTAACAGACATGCAAAGAAGAGGAAAATATAAACTCTGATACAGAAGAAAATCAATGAAATGACAGAGGTTTTAGAACTAACAGATAAGGACATTAAAATATCTTATGTTTTATGTTCTTTGTATTCTTTGAACATGGAGAAAAAAACATGACCATGATGAGACGATATTTTTTAAAATACCTTTATGACATTTCTAAATATGAAGAATATATGGGATCAAAAATGTATTGGATAGATTAGACACTATAAAAGGAAAGATCTGTGAATTTGAACACATATGAATTAGAATAACCCAAAATGAAATATAGAGTAATATAAAAAAAACTAGAATAAAATGAACAAAGCATCAGTGACGTGGGGTGATACAAAGTGGCCAAATAAAGGTGTAATTGGAATCCAAGAAGAAAAGAGTGTGTGGAGGCAGAAAAAAAAATTTTTTAAAGAAATAATGACTGAGCTAGTGGAGTGGCTCAAGTGGTAGAGCACATGCCTGGCAAGCACAAGGTCCTAAGTTCAAACTCCAGTACTGCCAAAAAGAAAATGCTGAGATGGAAAAGAAAAAACATAATGGCTAAAATTTTTCCACATTCAATAGAAGCTAGAAGCCTACAGGTTCTAGAAATTTTATAAAACTTAAGCATACAAAAAGGCACATCACAATTAAATGTAAAAATCACCAAAAAATGAGACATTACACACAGAAGAAGAGGACAACACCAGACTTCTATTCAGACATATGCAAATCAGAAAATAATTGAGAGGTATCTTTGAGGTTGTGAAAGAAGTTAAACCTGCGAACTTAGATTTCTTGAGCCAGTGACTCTCACTAAGTAACCTTGAGCCAGTGGCTCAAGAAATCTAAGTTGACAGGTTTAATTTCCTTCAGTACATATATTACTTTTCAGGAAAACAAGCTGAAAAGTTAAAACTCGTCGGCAAACCTGTACTCTTTTTTTTTTTTTTTTTTTGGTACTGGGGCTTGAACTCAGGGTCTACATCTTGAGCCACTCCACCAGCCCTTTTTTGTGATGGGTTTTTTCAAGATAGGCTCTCTCGAACTATTTCCCTAGGCTGGCTTCAAACCGCAATCCTCCTGAGTAGCTAGGATTACAGGTGTGAGCCACTGGCTCCAGGCAACTATTAAGTAATGTTAAAGGAAGTCCTTTAGGTAGAAGGAAAATATCAAATGGTAGAAGGAAAACACAGAGTGCCCGAAATGGTAATTTGTGAGTAAAAAGATACGCATTTTTAAGAAAAGGTATTAATGAGAAAAGTGGAAATATGAGTAAAGTATGTAGGTTAGTTAAAAGGAATGTGCCATTATTTGTTTCTTAGTTTGAAATATATGCCATAATAATTTAACATGTTCACCTTAGGGGAAATTGAGTAAAGAGTATATGCTATATTACAACTTTGCTGTAAATCTAAACTTATTCCAGTATTAAAAAATACATTTAAATACATTTAAAAATAAAAGATAATATGCTATTTAAAACATAATTATTCAAAATGTTTTATGCCTGCATAGAATTTGTAAAACTAAAACATATGGCAACTGGAGCACAAAAGACATAAAAGAATAGTGGAAATATATTGTATAGTTCTTATGCCAAATGTGAAATGGTACAATACTGTTTTAAGATAGACTGTGATAAGTTAAAATAATAAGTATGTTGTGAACCTTGGAGCAATCACTAAAAACAAAATTAAAAAACTAGGACAGATAGCTAATAATCTCACAGTGGAAGTAAAATGCAAGTAATAAGGGGAAGTTTTTGACGCAAAAAATAAAAAGCAGATGGGACAAATAGAAAAAAAATAGCAGGATGGTACTCTTAAACCCAGTCATAACAATAGCTACATTAAATATAAATGGGCTAAACATTCCAGTTAAAAAGCAGAAATTATTAGACTATATAACATAAAAGAATGGACTGCTCATACACATTTTAACATGGATGAATTCCAAAAGCAGTAAGCTAAGTGGAAAAAGACACAAATGATTACATTTGTCTATATGATAACATTTATATGAAATTCCAGGAAAAGTGAAACAGGAAGGAAATCAGTTGAAATATAGATAGGAACATGTAGTGGTGATGACAATGTTATATACTATGATTGTGTGGGCGGTTGCAGTACCAAAGCTTTGTCACAACTCATCTACTTATATACTGAACGTGTGAATTTTATTGTATGTAAATTATCTCAAAACTATTTGATATCACACACTTAACCATGTGCATGAGGGAATTCAGGGAATGTAAGGATGAATAAAGCCATTTTAAGTGAACTGAAAAAAATCACTAAAAAACAAAATTAAAAAAATATTTAAGATACTATAAGTCAATATGATTTTTTAAAATAAGCTGTGATTATCTAGTACATTTTTATATTTTTTAATTATTAGGTTGAACTAAAGCGACGATACAATGACCACCACTCAAAATCGAGAGGTCTTTTGCCAGGCCGTCAGTGGTATGAAATCCAAGCATATAGGGCCTTAAACCAGGCCCTAGGTAGGTAAGTAGAGTAAATTTATGTGACTGTAATTTTATCTGTGACTAGAGCTAGATGTAGGAGTGCTATTGCTACTTTAATCTTTTTAATTATTGTGATAAATTTTTATTTAAGTAGAACCCTAGGAAGGTATGTTTTTTATGTTAAGTGGAATTGAAAAGAGTAAATAGAATAAATTAGACCCAAAACAAAACTCAAGAGCTATGGGTATGGGTATGACTCAAGTGGTAGAGCTCCTGCCTAGCAACAAGGAGACACTGAGTTCAAACCTCAGTACTGCTTAAAAAAAATTTAGGGTCCTCCCAAAATAAAACTCAGAATTTTCAGAGATTTTATCATTAGCTAAAGAACAAATGACATATAGAGGTAGATGTTTATTAAAGGAAGTTTACAAACAAACCAAAACCTTTTGTCATATGAACATCAAACCAAGGTAATGGTTTTATAGATGAAAATCACTTATTGCTTCACACACACACACACACACACACACACACACACACACACACACAATGTCAGGGAACAAAACTGATATACAAGCCAGTATGAGAAGGCATTCTATTTGAGCGGTATGTCTTTAGTCAGTCACTAAAGGTGTGTAGAATCTTTTATTATATCAATCAAGTTATTTTTATCAAATACAAACCAGATTTTGCAGTTGCACCATTGTTTATTCTATGTAAAGAAGGCAACTAATGGGGAAAAAGTATCATTTTCATTTTAATATTTCTGAAGTATAGCTTGAAATTTGATTTAATCTATGCCTTCTATTTATGGTGATAATATTGATGGATAACATTGAAACTCACAGATATTGAATAATTAAAGACAAGGTAAAGGAGTTACTTTTTAAAAAGTAGAGGCGGGCATGGTGGTGCATGTCTGTAATCCCAGCAACTTGGGAGGCAGAGACAGAAATGTTGCAGTTTGAGGCAGCCCAGGAAAAAAGGTAGCAAGACTATCTGAAAAACAATCCAGGCTTGATGGGGCACATCTATAATCCAAGCTACTTGGAAAGTGGAGGTAGGCGGATTACAATTCAATGCCAGCCTAGACATAGTTAGCGGAAGATTATCTAAAAAACAAACTAAAAGCAAAAGGACCAGGTGTGTGGCTCAAATAGTAGAGTGCTTGCCTAGCAAGCATGAGGCCCTGAGTTTAATCCCCAGTACCACAAAAGAAGATATCAGAAGTAAAGCATTTAACAAATCATTCAAGAAGAGTTAAAATAACCTGTGACCATGATACTAAAGAATTAATATCAATTAACCATTTAATCATAATACTTCTATGTATTTTTTGGCAGTACTAGAGCTTGAACTCAGGGCTCGAGCTTGCTAGGTAAGTGCTCCACCAGATAAGAAACACACAATATTTTTTTTCCTTTTTTTTTTTTTGTCATACTGGGATTGAACTCAGGGCCTCAAGCATTCGAGGCAAACACTAAACCACTGAGCTATATCCCCAGCTCTGAAACGTACAATATACACACACATATTTACTGTGGTGCTTGGGATCCAGCCCATCAGCTCGAGCATTCTAGGCAAGTACTCTCCCAACTGAGTTACATCCGAGCCCAGAATATTCTTTTCTTTCCCAAGGATCTGGCCCATTAAGATTTGTGCTTTGTGGAATAAGTTTTTAAATCATTTTGTATCATACTTTCTTATTGTAGGAGATCAATTTCCAATTATAAACACTATAATTAAATTTTGTACAAACTAACTTAAAAATTTATGTTCTCCATTTGCGAAACTGTAACTAGTTTTTCCATGTAATAGTTCATTTCCCAGTGAAGCTGTAAGGTGTTCAAGTAATTCAAGTAAGAGAAATAGTTTAAGAGTAAAGTTATGAAATCATGAGCATTTTCCACATTTGCAGTTCAAGCAGAAGACCCACTACTAACTCTAATCTGACCTGATCAAATCCAGAATTTATAGATTTTCCTCAGGTGTCTTGTGCTCTCACATTGGACTGTTTGCACATTCACCAGCTAGACTGCATTTAAGTTCAGCTTACATGTAGCTAATGACATAGGACACAAGTAGATTGAAGTGCAGGACACATCACCCACACTCCTCTTCATAATTTCAGAATGGTATTTTGTAGGTTTCTCTTCAAATGGAATGACTCCCTTTTGTTGTTAAGCTGCTGATATCCTGCTGCCCTTCTCTGCCTAGATGGAAGTCCCATTTTACTGGGCATCAAGTTGCACTGCAAGTTGTTCTTGAAACATTTCATCTACTTTCTCTCTCCTTGCTGATTTTTTGTTTGACTTTTAATATTTGTCTAATAGTTTCTATTAAAAATGTATTTGAGATTCTTGACTTAGTTGTTATACTCAGTTTCAAGAAAATAATCTTACCTCAATTGATTTTTATTCCTTTTAAGATAAATAACAATGTCTTAAATTTCAAGAAACCATGTGAAGCAAAAGTTAATTTGTATCCTTCTTTTTCCACATATTATCTCATTTGATTCTTCCATTCACCAGTGATGATGATGCATTAGCAATGCATGTTGGTAATTTTATTTGATTGTTTTGTCTTGTGGGTCGGTTTTTGTTTGGGGAGGGTTTTTTTTTTTTTTGGATGGGGGTTTGAACTCAGGATCTTGTGCTTGCTACCATGTCCACAGCCCTGTTTTGTTTTGTTTTAAAACTGATTCAGAGAGACTAAATTATTTGGCTGGGGTCACATAGCTCTTTACCCTTTACATTTTAGACCTACCCACTTTTAAACCAAAAAGACCTGCTTTTTTCATCCATATATCTACCCCTACTAAAATTTTCAGCATTAAACATAAACATTTCACTATTGAACTATTTAATTACCATATCCTGTCATTGCTCTCTGCCTTTGTACCTAAGTTACCATTTGGCATATTTAGTAATCAAAACCTAGTTGAAGGTCACTTAGAGTAGTATAAATCCATGAAATATGAAAACAACCTTCAGAAGCGTACCAGATGGTTTTGTACCAGTTTATAACTGCACTGAGTTTTCTCACTGTCTGCTTTACTAACAGTATAATCTTTTCTCAAGTGGGCAGAATTCATATAGGCAGCAAGGCAGTATGAGAAGAATAGAAAACAGAAAAAAAGTTTTACTCTGACTTATTTTGTTAAATACCTTTTTACCAAAGAGCACATTAAACACAAATCAAAGCCGACCCCAAAAAGTATGGAATCCTGACTTTCCACTGATTTTCAGCACTCTTCTATAATATTGACAATATTTATTATTTCTTCCTATACTGCCTAATATTATATGGCCTGTTGACTTTTGAATCTTTAGTTTACTTTAAAATGAAAAAAAGCATCATATTAAATTTACATTTTAATTATCACTCTTTCAAAATGCTATGACAAGGAATAAAACTTGTCAAAGTTACAAACAGTGAGGGAAAAATGTCAGGCAACAAATGTCATCAGATTTTGAATGCTGGAAGAAACAGTTGAGTGAATGAATGAACAGGCAAGAGGAAGCTGAAACTTAAATCTACAGCAATAAAAGCCAACAACAACCTCCAAGTTCATTCATAAAAGATTAGGACTTGAGGGATTCTAAAGTGTCAATGAAAGTAAGGTTAAGCAGGGCACTGTGGCTCACATCTGCAATCTTAGCTACTCAGGAGATGGAGATTGGGAGGATCACACCTCACCTAATAAAAAAAGCTGGGCATGGTGGCACACACCTGTCACCCTAGCTGTGTGGGAAACATAAATAGGATTGTAGTCCAGGCTGGCCTGAGAATAAACATGAGACCTTATATGAAAAATAAGTAAAGCAAAAAGGGCTGAAGGCATAGGTCAAGTGGTAGAGTGCCTGCCTAGCAAGTCCAAGGCCCTGAGCTGGAACCCCAGTACCACAACTCCCTCAAAAAAAGAAGTAACTTCACAAAATTTCTCAGAATTGAAGAACATGATTTCCTAGGTTAAGAGAGCCCACTCAAGCACAGGTGAAAAGGAGAATACTATATTGCACATCATTGTGCAGTTTCCAAGTATTTGTAATAAAGAAAAGGTCTTAAAGACCATGGTTCATGCTTATAATCCTAGCTACTCAGGAGGCAGAGATCAGGAGGATCACAGTTCAAAGCCAGTCTGAGCAAATAGTTGGCAAAACCCTATCTTGAAAAAACCCATTACAGAAAAGGGCCGTTGGAGTGGCTCACGGTGTAGGCCCTGAGTTCAAACCCCAAGTACCACAGAAAAAAAGAAAAGGTCTTAAAAAGGTAGGCTTCATAAAGACAGTAGGGAATCAGAATCACAACAGATTTCTGAAAAACTACACTGAAGATAGAAAAAACTCTCTTCAGATTTCCTGGGGAAACAACTTTGATTTTAAGTTGTATAGGATCCAAACAAAGAACTAAAACATTTGCGTCAAATAGATGTTTTTCTCAGGGTGTTACTGGAGATTTGCTCCATCAAAATAGGGTAAAATTCAGAAAGTGGAGAATCAAGAATTCAGGAGATTGGGACTCCAATCTAGAAGAGAGGCAAAGAGATCTCTCAGAACAGTCAGGTAGGGAAGTCCTGAAGTGACCCTGTTAATGCTAAGTCCGGAGCATAGAAAGTTTGACTATATTGAGAAGAAATTTTACAGCTGTGGCAAAACTTGAAATCCATGAGTAAGGCAGATAGGAGGGCATTTTAGGACACCCTGGGCAAAAAGTTAGTGAGACCATATCTCATTAAGTAGGTGAGGCATGGTGGCATATGCCTTTGGTTCCCAGCTACTCAGCTAATTGGGATGTGGAATTAGGAGGATTGTGGTCTGAGGCTGGCCCAGGCAAAAGCGGAGATTTTATCTAAAAACAAATTAAAACAAAAACGACTGGCAACATGGCTCAAGTGGTAGAGTGTTTGCCTAGCAAGCATGAGTCCCTGAGTTCAAACCCAGAACTAAAATAATAGAAGGAGAAGAAGGAAAAATAGATCTGGGCTGAGGTATAACTCAGAGGTAGAGTCCTTGTATAGTATGTATGTGTGATCCCCCGAACAACAACAAAAAAAAGATCTAAGATCAATAATCTAACTATTTTCACTTTAAAAGATTAGGAAAGGAAGGGCAAGCTATTAAAAGCAAAAGATAAAAAGAAATGAATGAAATAGAACACTCAAGAAACAGGAAATCAAGGCAATAAAAAATTAATTCACTGAAAAGATAAGAAAAAATTGATAATCCTTTATCTAGCATGACGAAGAAAATATAGAGATTGCTAGAATTAAGAATGAAAGAGAGGTACTACTGAACTCACAGAAATATAAATGTTTATAAGAGTTTCTTGAACATTGCTTGACAACAAAGTTAGATAAATAGACAAATTCATAGAAAAATACAAAGTACTGAAGCTGAATTAAGAAATAGAATATTAGAATAGATCTATAACATTTAAGTAAAAATAAAATTAGTAATCATAACACTTCTTATAATGAAAACCCCAGCACTAAATGGCTTTGCTGGTGAGTTCTTTTTTTTTTTTTCTTTCTCTTTTCTTTTTGCTGCTGGTGAGTTCTAAAAAATAATTGAAGAATTAGCACAAATCTTTTACAAACTCTTCTAGAAAAATAGAAGAGGAAACATTTTACCAAAGCATTTGTTTAATGAGTCCAATATTACCTGATGTCAAACCAAGTTAAGACATCACAAGAAAACTGCACAGCAATATTGGTTATGACTATAGAAATAAAAATACTCAGCAGAGCCTAGAAAACTGAATCTGGTAGCATACTAAAATGATTATACAACATGATTGTAATTTTTCTCAGAAATGCAAGGTTAGTTCAATATATTAAAACCACTTAATATGATTTTCATATGTTGCTGTGCCAATGGAATGTAAGTTCAAAACTGCATGGTTTTCTCAAGATGCAAAAAAGGCATAAAACAATGTCTGACATACTTTCATGATTAAAAACACTTAATAAAGTGGGAATATAAATCAGATTACTTAACTTTAACAAAGTCATCTATGAAAAACCTATAGCTAATGTCACACTTACTGGTGAAAGACTAAGTTTCCCCCAAAGTTCAAGACCATGACAAGGATGTCCACTCTCACTATTCAGTATTAAATTGGAGGTTCTCACCAGACCAGTGAGGCAGAAAAATTAAAGATACACAGATTGGAAGGAAGAAATAAAACTATGTGTATTTCCAAATGACTCGATATTCTACATAGAAAATCTTAAGGAATCCATTAAGAAATATTTATTAAAACTAATAAGATCAGTAAAGTTTCAGCTTAAAAGATGTATACAAAAACCACTGGCAACTGTATTCACTAGCAAGTAAAATTGCAAAAGTGAAGTTAGAAAAATATCAGTTAAAATAGTACCAAAAGCAATTTAACAACTTAGAAATTAATTTAACTAAGATAGTGAAAGAACCACTTTTTAAAAAGAACATACTAAAAAAATGGAATTAATCCCATGTTCTTACATTGGAAGAGTTATGATTAAGGTATGAATGCTACCCCATACTGATAAAATACCAGTCAAAATCCCAGCTGACTTTCTGGTAGAAAGTGAGAAACTAATCCTAAAATTATTATGGAAAAACAAGCAACCCAGAATAGCCAAAACAAAGAGAAAAGCAAGTACAAATTTTCTTAACCTTATATTAGGCAGTAGCTTCTTAGGTCTGATTTCAGAAGCACAAGCAAAACAAAGATGAGATACTTGAGATTTTGTCAAAACATAAGGTTTTGTTATTCAAAAGACACTTAAGAAATAGAAAAGATAGCTCAGATGGAGAAAATATATGCAAATCATGTATATCAGGATCTGGTATCCAGAATACATAAAGAACTCTTAGGGGATGGCTATGTTCCCAGTGATTCAGGAAGTGGAGACTGGGAGGAGCATTGTCTGAGACTGGCCCATGCAAAAAAAAAAAAAAACTTGAGACCCCATCCAAAAAAAATAGTTAAAGCAGAAAAGAAAAGAGGGGCTGGAAGAGAGACTCAAGTGATAGAGCACCTGCCTAGTAAGCATGAGGCTCTGAGTACCACCAAACCCCAGTATCACCAAAAAAAAAAAAAAAAAAAACTTGTAAAATTTAACATTGAATGGGTAAAATAGGCAGCTTTTAAATGGACCTATAATTTGAATAGCTATTTCTTACAGACAATACACCAATAACCACTAAGCACATAGAATGCTCAACAGTATGGTCAGTAGGGAGATACAAATCAAAACTATTTTGAAATGCCATTTATTGCTCCTAAAGTAGATACAAATTTTTAAAGCTATAACAAGTATTGGTGAGGATGTAGAGATTTTGGAACCCTCATACATAGCTGATGGTAATGTAAAATTGTGCACCTGCTTTGGAAGACAGCATGATGGTTCCTCAAAAAGTTAAACATACAGTTACCCTGTGACCCAGCAATTCCACTCCTAAGTATATATCTAAAAAAATCAAAAACATGTTTTTTTATAAAAACCTGTACATGCATGTTCAGAGCTGCATTATTCATAATGCCTGAAAAGTGGAAATGAAGCAAGTGTCCATTAACTTATGAGTGGAGAAACAAAATGCCATATATCCACGTAATGGAATTTTATTCAGCCATAAAGGGGAATGAAATACTAATACACAGTAGGAGTGAAACTTGGAAACATCATGCTAAAGTGAAATAAGCCAGATTAAAAATGCCACATATCGGATGAGTCCAGTTAAATGAAATGTAAGAAATAGGCAAATATATGGAAACAGAATATGTTGGTGATTGCCAGAGGTAATGGGAAATAATTGAGGTAGTTTGGAGTGACTCCTAAGGGGCACAGGTTTTCTTTTTTAGAATGATGAAAAGTTCTAGAATACATAATAGTAAATGTTATACAAATGTAAGTAAACTAAAAACCATTGAATTCTGCACTCAATTTTAAAATATATTTTAATATAATTTTTTAAAATACTAGTAACCTGAATTTAACAATCCATAAAAATAAGAATGCACTATAACCCTGTGTGGTTATACTAGGAATGCAAGGCTATTTAAGTATTTGAACTGACAAGTGTAATCCACTATGTAAGAAATCAAAGAAGAAAAACGATATGATTATATTAATTGCCATGTAAAATATTTTTGACAAAAGTAAATACTCATTCGATGGTTTTTAAAAAAATCCTCATCAACTATATGAAAGGACAAATGCGTAAAACCCAGAATCTTTAATGATTCTTAAGGCAGACAATTTTTCTGTATGACTAAGAAAAAACATCTTGGAAAATATTTTCTAATACTTTTTAATTTCAAGTTAAATTTGTATAACATTTTGAATGTAACTTATCAGTAGTTGGGGCAGATGCAGAGGGTTTTTTGTTTTTGTTTTTGTTTTTTGGTGGTAGTGGGGTTTGAACTCAGGGCCTCATGCTTGCTAAACAAGTGCTGTACCACTTGAGCGACTCTGCCAGGCCTTTTTTTTTGTGTGTTGCTTATTTTCAAGATAGGGTCTCACAAACTATTTGCCCAGACTAACTTCAAACCCTGATCTTCCTAATCTCTGCCTCCTAAGTAGCTAGAATTACAGGCATGAGCCACCAGAAAGGACTTTTTTTATATACCTACTTTGGTATAGTGGGTAGCTTCTGTAGCTCTTCACATAATAACATTACAGGATTGTATAACTGACACATCATTAATTTTCTTAATTTTCTGTCCCTCTAATAATCTGGCTTTTACTTTCAGTGTTATATATATTTTTTATTTCCCCTCCATTTTTTGTAGGTGTATTCGACACAAAAATGATTGGGGAGCTCTTATTCTAGTGGATGATCGCTTCATTAATAATCCAAGTCGCTATACATCTGGTAAGATTCTCAGCTGAAATTAAAGTAAAAAGAAGTAACAATCTCATGAGCTCTACCTTCTGAACTTCTTAAATGTATACCACAATACTGTTAGGTATAAGCACAATATTGTACAGCAAATCTCTGAAACTTTTTAGTCTTGATTTAACAGCAATGACCCACTGTCTACTCCTTTGTACTGTGGCAGCTGCTATTATACTTTGGCTTCTTTGAGTTGACTACTTTATATACCTTATTTAAAATGAATTATGCAATATTCTGTGACTGGTTTATTGCACTTAGCATAATGTCCTCAGTGTTCATCCATGTTGAAGTATCTGAAGGATTTCCTTCTCTGTGGTTGAGTGATATTTCCTGGTATATATATATATACCATATTTTCTTTAGTGTGTGTGTGTGACTGGGGTTTGAACTCAGGGCTTCGTGTTTGTAAAGCAGGTGCTGTAGTGCTTGAGCCACACTCCAGTCCATTTTGCTGTGGTTATTTTGGACATGGGGTGTCATGAAATACTTGCCCAGGAGGACCTCACATCACGATCCTTCCAGTCTCAGCCACCTAAATAGGTAGGATTATAGGCATGAACCACCAGCACCCAGACCATATTTTCTTTATATGTCAATAGACATTTAGATTGTTTCCATCTGTTGGGTACTACAGTGCACATGAGAATGCAGATATCTCTTTGACCTATTTATTTCAGTTCTTCTGAATAAATACCAACACATGCATAGCAAATGGAAGTCCTAGAGCACACCTGTTGTCCCTCTGATTTGAATAGGCCTGGATGACACTTTCCTGTTTTAGTATGCATCTTAGCCACCCTGATCCAATATCATATGACCAGGTATTCCTCCAGCTTGGAAAGTATAAGACTAAGAGATGACAACCACCATTTTGAGTTTTTACTACCATTTCCTATATGGGAAGCAGAAAATATGTCTCTTTTTTTCCCCATTTCTCTCCACTTGTATCACGTTAAGCTAAATTCCTTTCCTAATAATTTTTTCTATTGCTTTCACTACATTTTCACATCTTGCCTGAATTCTTCTCTTGCTGATGTAAGAATCAAATTATATGACAGCGCTAACTTTCCAGTAACATGAGGAGAGTAATACAGAAGGTACTCTACGTTATATTTAAGTAATGATTAAATGGGGAAAGGATTTACTATTGCTTCCTAATAATTTTTTCTATTGCTTTCACTACATTTTCACATCTTGCCTGAATTCTTCTCTTGCTGATGTAAGAATCAAATTATATGACAGCGCTAACTTTCCAGTAACATGAGGAGAGTAATACAGAAGGTAATCTACTTATATTTAAAGTAATGATTAATGGGAAAGGATTTACTATTGCTATATGCATGTTTTGTCTCTCTTAACATTTCTTTCTGTCCCTCTTTTCCTGTCTTTCTGCTTTCCTTTGTGTTTCACTGATTTTTTTGTTTGTTTGAAGTTATAAACTTTCTTTCCTTTCTTGTTTTCTTTTGTCTTTTATAGGTATTATCTTTTTGGTTATCATGAGTCTTACATAAGATGCCTAGAATTATAACAGTCTATTTTCAGCTGATCAATTACATACCAAAAAGTTACACCTTTCCTTTTCTTCACCACACTTTGTTATTGAAGTAAAAAATTCCCCCTATTTTATCTGGTAAAAATATTTAGTTATTATTACTTTTTATACTTTTGTCTTCAACTCTACCAAAATTAAAAGTGAGTTGTGGGAAGGTGATTCATGCTCCATTGTTACACTGTACTTAAGTATTCTGTATTTATCTATAGAGTCACCTTTTGTGTTACTGTTTAGTATAACCCCTTAGCATTTCTTACAAGGCCAATCCAGTGCAATAAACTACCTTAACCTTTGTTCATCTGGCAAAGTCTTTATCTCTCCTTTGTTTTGATGGATGGTTTTGCCAGATAACCGTATTCCTGGTTAGCAGTTTGGATTTTTGGTTTTTTTTTTTTTTTTTGAGCAATTTGAAAGTATCATCCATTTCCCTTGTTACTACAAAGTTTCTCTTGAGAAATCATTGACAGTTTTGTGATTTGCTTGGATGTGATGGATTGCTGCTTTTAAAAATTCTTTTTTCTTTACCTTAGAATAACTTAGTATAGACTTCTGGGTTCATCCTGTTTTGGATTTATTGGGCTTCTTGAATCAGGATGTCATTTTTTTCTCACAGGAAGTTTTTTCCCATTGGGAAGATTTTGGTCATTTCTATGAGTAAGCCTTCTCCTTTTCCTCTTTCTAGGATTCTCAGAATGCATACATTGCTCTGCTTGGGCTTTTTTCACTTTTTTTTTAAATCAAGTTTTTTGTTTTCCCCCTTTTTGCTCCTCTATTTAATTTCCAATGGCCTATCTTAGAGTTTCTAAAGCCAAGCTCTGCTTGGGCTTTCTTCAGCTTGATCAAGTCTGCTGTTGAATCCCTCTAATGAAATTCTCAATTGTTACTGAATTTTCCAGCTTCAAAATTTTGTTTTACATTCTTTATCTCTGAGTTGATAATCTTCCTCCTTTTTTTTCCCTCTATCATTTTCTTAAGCTCTAAGCATCTTTTTGACAGTTATTTTAAACCCTTTGTCAGATAATTCACTTACCTCCATTCCTTTAGTTTGTAGAGATTTATCTTGTTCCTTTGATGAGGCTACTTTTCATGTTTCTTGGTGTTCCTTGTGATTTTATGTCAGTATTCACACATTTGACAACACAACCTCCTCTTAGAATGTTTGCATGCTGGCTTCACACAGGAAAAGACCATCACTCATCAGCTCTTGTAGGCACCCTGGGAGCCTCACAAATCTTTTCTGTGGATCTGTCTTCTCTCAACTTAACCTATATAGATTCTAATTAGAAGGTTTGCCAATTTCTTTCTTTTCATTTCTTCTTTCTCTTTTCCTCTCCTTCCTTCTTTCCTCTCTTCCTCCCCCTCTTTCTTTTCTTTTCTCCTCCCTCCCTCCTTTCTCTTTTTCTATTCTTTCTTTCTCCCTTCTTTGTTTCCTTCCTTCCTTCTTTCTTTTCTTTCTTGTGTCATAGTCTGTTTTTCTGTCTTATCTGTCTCTCTATAATGAGGCCTCCTAAGCATCAGTACTAGGCAGGCACTCTACCACTTGAGCTACATGCCCGGCCAAAAAATTCTTTATAAATGCAGATTGTTTAGTTACCAACAAAGGTTAAACCACCTAGGATTCTTCAATTTTATAGAATATGAGATATAATTAAATAATATAGTAATATTTTATTTACCATTGTCAGGGGAAAAGCTCTTCCATAGAAATGAATTTTCTAAGAAATATGAAATTTTTACATTTAAATAAACAAATACATGGTTTTTGTTTTTTGGGGTTTTTGGTTTTTTTTGTGGTAATAGGGTTTGAACTCAGGGTCTACATCTTGAGCTACTCCACTAGCCCTTTTTTGTGAAGGGTTTTTCCGATATAGGTCTCTCAAACTATTTGCCTGGGCTGTCTTTGAACCATGATCCTCCTGATCGCTTCCTTCTGAGTAACTAGGATTATAGGCATGAGCCACTGGTGCCTGGCTAATGCATGTCTTTTATTTTTTTATTTTTTTATTATTGTTTTATTATTCATATGTGCATACAAGGCTTGGGTCATTTCTCCCCCGTACCCCCACCCCCTCCCTTACCACCCCTCCCTCCCCTCCCCCATTCCCTCAATACCCGGCAGAAACTATTTTGCCCTTAACTCTAATTTTGTTGTAGAGAGAGTATAAGCAATAATAGGAAGGAACAAGTGTTTTTGCTGGTTGAGATAAGGATAGCTGTACAGGGAGAGTTGACTCACATTAATTTCCTGTGCATATGTGTTACCTTCTAGGTTAATTCTTTTTGATCTAACCTTTTCTCTAGTTCCTGGTCCCCTTTTCCTATTGGCCTCAGTTGCTTTTTAAGGTATCTGCTTTAGTTTCTCAATGCATGTCTTTTGACTGCTTACAGTTATCTTTTGTTTTGGTTTATGTTAAAGTTTATTGTTGTATTTACTTGTCTGTTTCTTTAGAATACTCTAGTTTAGAGTTTATGTTAACCAAAGTTAGCATTTTTTGAAAGGAACTAAAGCATCCCTGTTTGCAGCAGGATAAAGTAGATGGTCATTTTTTTATTACTCAATTCAACAGATATTATGTGCCTATGGATTTCATTCAGCAGTGACACAGTCCTTTCAGAGTCAATACCAGGAATCTACTTGTTTTCAAAGAGCTGTGGGACTTATCATTTTTGTTATTAATGTTAAGATTAAAAATTCATGAAATTAAAAATTCATGAATTAAAAATTCATGAAATTATAATAAAGACATAGTGAATTTTAATTTTGTTTCAAGTTAGCTATGTGTGGGCATAGAATTTACTATTTCAGAGTCTAATTACTTTATTTGGTTTTGTATTAAAAATTAAAATTTAAATTTAACTGTCAGGATTAAAGCAGAGAGTACTGCTTTCTTATTTTTTTTTAACCTTTTCATGTAAAACAGCAGTAGATTAAAGCAGTAACTAAAAGCAAAAATGCTGAGTGATGGTGTTTAGTCAGTAGGTGGAGCTCAGACTCAAGTTTTGTAAAGCAAACTGACATACTGCGAAGGTAACTGTACTGAATTTTTTCAGTTTCAGAGAATTTCACATTTTTATTTGGCATAATCATTTTTACTAAGCAAACAATAAACATAAGGGAAATGCATGTTTGTTTTTTATTTTAAAATCTAGAAGACAGGGGTTGGAGATTTAGCTCAGTGGAAGAGCGCTTGCCTGGCAAGTGTAAGGCCCTGAGTTCGGTCCCCAGCACCGGAAAAAAAAAAAAAAGGAAAAAAAAAAAAAAAAAAAAAATCTAGAAGACATTTTACTTCATAGTTCTTATTTGCTGAGATTTTTAGAATTTAATATTTTCCATTATTAGATTTTTTTATTCTCTTTTCCTGATCTTCATGAAATGTAAAGTATTTTCTTGTTTTGGTAATACTAGCACAAAATACCCACATACGCTTTGATGACTATTTCTTGTTTAAATTCAGTTTGCCTAAATAGAGAATTGATTAAAAAAAAAAAAAACTCCCACTAAAAATACTAAAGGAATGTATTTGAGATGAACATATAGTAACTCAGGTTTCTTGAAGCCCTGTTTTATCTTTCTCTAACTGTAAACCATAGTGACTTTTAAAACTAATTGCTCCAAAAGATTATGCTATTTTTGTAACATTAGCCAGGGAATTCTATTTCATAAAAATCCAAGATTTGTTAAAATTTCATTGGAAAATGAGGCATTCTACAAAATACTTAGGCTTTCCCCATCCCCACCCCAGTACAGGGGTTCAAAGACAGGGCCTTCTGCATGCTAAGCAAGTACTCTACCACTGAGCTATATTCCCAGCCCACTTCTTATACTCTTAATGTTGCTCATTTTTATGCTGTTTTCTTGTCCCAGGTCAAATCATATCTCTTACTTTGCTTATTTATGTATTTTTAAAGTATATAATAAAAGTTCAGGTAGAACATGGTTTTCCCACAAACATGTTATTTCTTTTACCTCCAGAATTAGCTTAATATGTATTTAGAATTGCCTAAAAAAACCTTTGAGAGTGGAATTTTTTATTTATTTATGGAAAAGAAGTGAAATTTAGAATGATGGAATGGAAGGTTGTAATAATGTTTACAATTTCTAGTTTCTCTGCATGAAAATGGCAGGCAATTTTTATGGGGAATTATGATAAAATTAAATTTACCTCTCTTCCCCAGCTATTTTCACCTAAAGAATACAGACATTTTCTAACTTACAATGGCTCATCTTACAATTTTTCAACTTTACAATAGTGTGAAAACAAATATTGAGCAGAAACTGTACTTTGCATTTTAAATTTTGATTTATTTTCCTGGCTAACAGTAAATGGCATCACAAGATCTGGCAGCAACAGTTGTACTGAATCTCCTGGTCAGCCATGTATCACAGCAGTAAACAACAGTATACTGTGTTACTAAGCTATGGTGTTCAGTATGTTAAGTGCATTAAGTGCATTTTCTGTTTAAAATATTTTCAACCTAAAGATGACTATGTCAAGACATAACCCCATCATAAGTCATGTGTGTATTGTACAGATGAAGTAAAGTTGTAGGAAGAAATAATGAAAGCTAGACTAGAGGTGTAGCTCAAACAGTAGAGCACCTGTTTTGCAAGTGCAAAGCCCTGAGTTCAAACCCCAATCCCACCAAAAAAAAAAAAAATATTGAAAGTCATTCAGTATGTTCAAGTACAAATTAGGTTACTTCATTAGAAAAAGTAAGTTTTATCTTAATGCATAATAACTTAGGAACTAAGTAACCAAAATTTCCCCTGAATTTACTTTTTCTTTAGGGCTTTCTAAGTGGGTAAGGCAGGAGATTCAGCACCATTCAACCTTTGAAAATGCACTGGAGTCCTTGGCTGAATTTTCCAAAAAACACCAAAAAGTCATTGATGCATCCAAAAAGAACAAAAAGTGTCTGCAAGACAATGCATCTACTCTTAAAGTGACCTGTTTGGAGGACAGTACCCCTACATGTTTATTGGAAGCAGCAAGTCATCTATCACGAGAAAGTCCTAGGGGAGATGAAGCAAAAATGCATGTCCAGGAACTACAGTGTCCTAAAATGAACATTAAAAACCCATCTCTTCCAAGTGGCAACATCTCCAGAAAGGAGAAAAGTATGTAAAGTTCTGCCCATTGACATTTGATAGAGAAATCTTTCATTGTCTAATAGGAAGATAATTATTTTGGTGTAGATTAATTTTCTGAAATGTTTTGGGTCTTATTTTATTAAAAGATAATGATATATAATATAAAGTAGTATAAATATATGCATATATATGTGTGTGTGTATATATATTTATATATATTATATATATAAACAGGGACCAACTTTTGTCAGGATACTAGACTATATTTCTGATTCTATTAACTAGCTTTATAATCATGAGCAAGCCACTTAAACCTTTTTGTGTCATAATAGAAAAAAATGAATACCTGCCTAGCTGTCCTTCTGGGTTGGGTTCTATAGATCAAATAAAATGATAAATATCTCAGCATTATGAAGTACTATACAAATGGTAGATGTTTTTCTAAAGTTGATATAAAAATTGGTCTAATTTAGAGATACATATATGAACTTTTTGTTTTCAGAAGGCAAAAGTTTATTTAAAAGATAAAAATTAATATTTTAAAATATATTAGAAATAGCAATCTGTATTAGGGATTGGCAAAGTGGCCCATGGACTAAATTTGACCTGCAGTTTTTGTAAGTATAGTTTAATGGAACTCAGTCACATTCTCCATTTACATAGGGCAAACAACGAAGTTGAGTAGTTATATGTGTTGCACTAGAGTAGCATAATTGAGTAGTTACAACAGAGACAATAGGGTCTACAAAACTAAAATATTTGCTAGCTGGCCTAGGACAGAAAAAACTAGCCAAACTCTAGTTATTGGATATAATTTTAATTGTTTTATTCATATATCATTGTAGCTTAATATATCGATTTTTAAACATTTGTTTTATGGTATATGCTTCTAAATAAATGTCATAGTGAATTCAAGGCTATTGGTCTGGTAATCAGGAAACCTTATGTTCTGGCACTGATCTTACATACTAATTAGTTTTTTAACTGTGAGCAAATAACACAGCTTTGTGATTGTCAGTTTCCTTTTTTATTAAATAAGGGAATTAGTTTAGGGCAGTTTTTCTCAATCACTGGTTAGCGAATTTTCAAGGTAAATTTTTATAACCTGTTTCTTCCTTTACTCAGCCCTTTTCCTCTTCCTTGTAACCCCTCCTTTATTCCTTCAATATTGAGGTCCCTGTGTGGAATTTGATAGTCTGCCAGACAGCATTACAATTTAGGCTAGGACACCCTAGAGATCTGATACTCCTTTCAGAGTTAACCTGCTCTTCTTTAAATTCTAAGAGGAAGGTCCAATATTTTCATTTTGTAGTGGGCTCTAAAGTATGTATTTTTAATCGTTACTTAAGTATTTCTAATAAAGAATCATTTTAACAATTCATTGTGTTAGCTAGGAGCAGAAAATTAAAGTTCTTTAATTTTGTATTCTTAGATGACCCGGTATTAATGGAAGAAAAAGCAGAAAAATTTGTGATTTCCAGATCCTCAAGCCCAACTTTCAGCAAACAAACAAAGAGAGCTAGCTGGTCTAGCTTTAGTTCTTTGGGACCGTATTTTACAGGTAAAATACAGACTGCAACACCTGAGCTTAGGCCATCAGAGAATTGTGCCTCCAGTTCTTCTACTCCCAAAATAGAAAGTAAAACTGTTTTGCCACTCATTTGTAAATGTGAGTCCTCAAATCTAACAGTAAACACATCATTTGGGCCTTGCCCTCAGTCAGAAACTACTATGTCATCAATAGAGATAGATATTACTGAAAAAGATAATTCAAAACAACCACTCTGCTATGGAAAAGCCCTGGATCTAGATACTGAATTATCTCTAATAAGTGAAAAAGATAAACATTCCAATTCAAACAGTGGTTATGAAACAGAAGCAGAAGATGAGTCTATATATTTTACACCTGAACTTTATGATCCTGTAGATACAAATGAAGAAAAAAATGAGCTAGTTGAAGCTGCTGGATTCATTAATAATTCAAATTGCATTTTAGCTGAACACCTTTTTGAAATTAAAACTACAACAGGAGAAGATTCAGCCAGAGAAATGAAAAGTGGGGATTGCATACACACAAAGTTGAGTAGAATCATGCATATTGAAGAAAATAAAATTGATGACATTGACGATAATGTAAAAACTTATACAGATGAATTGGAGCTTGGAAAAATTAATGAAATAGTTATAAGGGACTTTAAGCAGTAAGTGTCTTCTCTGATGTTAAGTAATTATACCGTCAATCTGTAAAAATATGTTGTCATGCTTTTGTTAAACTCTATTGTAAATAATAATTCATACATTGGTCAAGTTTTTGAAGTCTATTTTTTTACTTTAATTCATATGTTCAAGGAAGAAGGATTTTGTTTGTTTGCAGTGCTGGGGAGCAAACCCCAGGCCTTACACATGCCAGGCAAGTGCTATATCACTGAGCTACATTCCCAGCCCTAGGTCTGTTTTATGTTCAGAAATGTAAGTTTTATTTTTGGGTTTTAAGAAAGTGATTCATACAAAGTATTTTTCTCCAATAAGTCTTAGCCAAGTGCAATTTAAAATTAATTAATTTAAAAGATATTTAGAGTTTCCTAGGGTACTTCCAATTTCATACAACTATTCATATTTTGTAGTCTACATCATCCATTTGTTTTCATACTATACATCAAGATTAAATAGCAGTTGGATGTGGGGCCTGGCTTAAGTGTTAGATCACTTGCCCAGCAAGTACAAGGCCCCCTGAGTTCAAGCCCCAGTACCACAATAAATAAAGACAAGATCAGTAGAAATAAAAAATAATCATACTACATCTATATTTCACTATATATTTTATCTCACATTGGTCTGAGTTATTTTAGAAATCAAGTTTGTTGTGAAAAGTTTACAACTTCATTAAAACTGCCTTATAAGTAAGAAAAATTAAGGGAAGAAGCAACATGTATATAAAGTTATAAAATGCCAATGAAATATTTCAGATGTCCAATTCTAATTATTTAGCCTCACCATCATTGTGGGAAAAAGTGACATGTACTCACTAGCACTGCCATAAAAAAGTGATATGTTGTCACATAAAGCTTTAATTTAGGCAACTTTTAAGATAGATAGAAACTTCATGTGTGACTTTAATAAGCAAACCTATATATACAATTGCAGCTGAAATATGTTGCCTTAGAGCATAGGAATCCTTTCAGTGAGTTTTGAGGGTGTTTGTTTTAGTGAATGAAACTAATACATCTATCAAAAATAGTTATAAAAGATGGTCATCTCTGACATCATTCCAAAAATACATCCACGGATCTATCAAGAAACATCTTTATTCAGTGGGCATTTAGGCTTCTTGTGAGTGAGTTGATTTGAATCAAATTGTGTGCATATGTGTGTGTGTGTGGGCACCTGCTGAAGATTCAAATCCAAGGCCTCACACATGCTAAGCAGGCTGCCTATCACTACACCTCCAGCTTGAACTGAAATTTTATAGGCTGTTCAAATAATATATATGGTCTTTTTATCAAGTCAAAATTCCTAATAGTCAGATATTTTTATAGTCATTTGAATAAGGAAATTATTATGTATACATATATTTACTTTCATTTTGATAGCATCTAGATTTAATACCACTTACCTGCTCTCTAGCATTATATTGCCATTCTAAGCTATTTAAAGAAATTTAGATTGAGAGCTTACCAAAATTAAAGAATTTATCTGTGGATTGAGATATATTAGATCCCACCTAGTGTTACATTTTTTCTTAGTTGATTAGTGAGTAATAAATATCAAACAACTAGATTAGGAGGTAATTTCTACATTGTTTTGAAAGAGTGAAACTGTTTCTCCCTTCTGGTATTGATCTTAAACCACAGGTAAAGGTAATAGGGTAGTGGAAAGGATACTGGGCAGAAGACAAGAGATTTGTGTTCTAGTCCTGACTCTGCCTCTAATTTGCTAAATTATATTGGCAATACCATGCCAACTAATACTATGGAATTAGTTTCATTTGTGGAATGTGGAATTTTGTACTATATAGCTATACAAATCCCTTTCAGCTTTAAAAATCTATAATATTAGGAACTCCTGTTGATATTTTTCTGAGTCAATTTTACTTTGTTTTTGTTCCAAGATGCTTAAAATAAAGCATGCTATTTTGTAGAAAAGGTAAAATGACTCTTACTCATCTACATTTAAGGAACATACAAATTCATGTATAATAATTTACAAAGCTAGATACTTTAACAATGCAGTAATTAAAACATTTTTGAGACTTTTAAAATTGCCTGTGGAAGAATTAGTAAAGTACATGAAAAAAATCAAGCATATTATTTTACAGTCAAGTCTCAGTATTATTACCCAGTTTGATCACAAATACCATCCATTCTCTTTTCCTAGATAAGATTATTCTTTCCAAAATCTCATACTCTGAGACTAAAACATTTTTACTACTAGGAGTATGCATAGAGACATATATAAGCTTGTAATAATGCTCAAGAATTTTGTACAATGATATCATTGTTGACATAGGTCTATGGTCTGTGCAGATCACAACTTTGACCAAGATGATCATCTAAGAACTAAACTACTAGCCTTTGCAGAATAGGAGAGATAGACCATTTCATTATGAATAACATGTTTTTTTTTATTATTAATAGAGGTCTATAGTGTTAAGTAAGTTAAAACACAGAAAGGCATTTAAAAGAGTACCTGGCACATGACAAGTCACCAGTTATCAGTAGATCAATCATCTGCCTAGAGTGCACTCTTACTTTATATGAAGACTTTGTTAACTGTAGGTAGACAGATAAACTGACAATAAAGAACTAATATAGAGCAAAAGAAAAATTATTTGTTTTTTTTAACTTTTCGAGATATATAAGTTAAGGATTACTTATCAGATAATTTATCTTACACATTTGATCCATATGAAATAATTATTAATATTGAATTTATTTAAGGAGTGAAAATATTATACAGCATATAGGCTAGGAACCATGGAAAATACCAGTTGATGAAAGGGCTTTCTTCATGGAAAAAAGGTACAATGTAAAGTATAGATTTTTTCATGAGTTGATACTGGAATGCTATCTGGAATTGTGCTAGAATTAATAAGAACTCTTTCTGTGTTCCTACTGTACATTTTATTATTACATGGATTTAAGTTTGGTACTCTTTCTATATTCACATAAGGCTTTGTTTTTATTTTTTATGGTCCTTCTCAAAACATTAATTTTTAAAGAGAGTATTTCTGTATTATATTTTTGAAATTGGGCTCTGCTGTGTTATTTTCCCATAATAAAATATTCAAAATATTTCACTCTTTAGAATTGCTTAGAAAACTTCTTCATGAACCCAAAGTGCCTGTTGTAAAATCACTTGAAAGACTAGATGTTGTAATCATCCTTTAGTGATGACATTCTTTTTATATTTGATTGCCACACAATTATTCTCAATTAGGTTCTTTTTAATCTCAAACTTCTCATTGAGCTACACAAGAATTTACGTTAACTTTTTTGAATCCTTGGTAGTTTCTTGTCTACTTTCATAGGTAAATGCAGTCATTCTTTTGTAAAGAAAAATTAATAATGAAACTTTTTGTAATAAAAAAATTAAGATTACACCAGACAATGAATGTCTAAGGAAGCTAACAACTTAGTGTGAAATATCTGTGCAGCTATAAAATTAAACAATAAAGAACATTGCTTAAGGAAATGGATATTTAGGAAAATGACCAAGGCTTATGATCCACAAGCCTTAAAGGATTTTCATGTCTTTAAAAAAAAAAAAAAAGAATTTTGTTTCGTAAGGTTCCATTTGATGGAACCATTAGCTGCCTGGCTTCCTGTACTCCACAATGGAGCCTTGTTATAATGTCCATGGGATCTGAGCCAGTGGATCACCTTATTGGTAAAACCACCTTATAATGAGGTGCTTTTAGTAACTAAACCCTCTTGGACTTAGTCCAAAATAACCCATCTTATACCAAATTCCACTCTATAACAAACAAGCTTCAATATATTGGAAAGAAAACAAAAGCTATATGAAACTTACTGTTCCCAGAAATTAGCCTTTGAAAATCTAATGGTACATACAGATTAAAAGAAATATTTGTTAGCAATCTCAAATTTAGATACTTTAGTGCTTTTTTAAATATGTATTTTTTACTTGGTCTTTTTAAGATTTATATATTTTGGTTATCTTAAACTTTGCTCAAAACTTACATAATTTCAGATTAAAGTATTTTATGTCAGTTTTTACAGAACTTGTGGCAAGGGGTGGCTCAGTGGTAGCGTGCATGCTTAGGTCCTAGGTTCAATCCCCAGCACCAAAAAATAAATACACACAAAACTTTTTTTATTTTTTACAGAACTTGATATTATAGTGGCTAATTTGGCACCTTCCTATTATAAAATACTAAATTACAGAAGTGGTATTTATGTGTCATCATTTATTATGTATGATTTGTATATAGTTGAAAAGTTTTAAAAGTGTTAAGTACTGATTTGTTATTGTTTGGGATGAAGTATTGTCTTGGTATATTTTCCCTTTTTCACAAGTTGGTGTTATGGGTATTCATATTTAAATGTTAGCTATTCTTTCAAACATTAATCTTTTTTATCTGTTGTAAAAGGACCCAAATAACCTGCCTTGCCAATCAAGGAAGAAAGCACAGAAAGAGGTAGGAACTATAAAAGCTTACTTTGCCATCCTTAGTATCGTTAGAGATCAGGCTCAACCTTACACTAAGGAATTACTCATATACTACATTTACTAAACTATAAACTACAATAGATACATTATTACTATTTACATATTTCATTCTTTAAAGTTGATTGGCAATATACATGGATTTTTGTAACATTAGACTAGAAATACGTCCCATCTTCACCTGCTGACTTAAACATTGGGCACACTATTTAACCTCTCTGAACTTAGAATGGTGATCAATAATAGTTTCATAACAGATAGATCAAACATGAGAAAGAAGTGCAGTAGAGTATATAGAAGCTCTTTTTGCATCAAGTTGGAGCAAGATTAACAGAATTTGGGGTCAAGAGAGTGAGTTTGAGTTTTGCTATGCTACTTACTGATTGACCTTTACCTCATTGAGCCTCAGTTTTATTTTGAGGGTAAATAAGTAAGCAAAAAATGAATAAAGTAATAGATTATTGTGAGAATTAAACAGAATAATGTGCAATGTGCTTTGTAAACTTTAAAGGATTAGA